TCTTATCTTATCTTATCAGTTCAGTAGGATAGATTAGTAGGGAGTCTTCCTAATTAGCAAGGAGTCTTCCTAAAAGTAGGACTCTTATCTCTTGTAATCTYCTAWTTAAGGAGCWKAKWWTATTSAATAAAGGCATCGAAAATTTCAGTCAAGAAAGAGAGCAAAGGAGAGTTGGTGATCTCTTGAACAAATCACTATTAAGGCGCCAAAATAGGTTCCTCAAGAAAAGGGAGGAACAAGGGAAAACAAGAGGTTTTCCCCATGGACCGACCCGTGACGAGATCCTATTCGCGGGCCCATAACAGACAGACATCCAATCACTGCCTGGAAGTCCCTTCTGCAACCATAGCATTCCAACCCAATGAAAAGGCTAACTTTAATCCTTGCAGCAACAACAAGAGTTCCTCTCCAAGGAAATTTCATCCCTAAACTGGCTTTGAATAATTCATTATAATATTCCAATTGTGATCCCTAAAAATATCTCTGATAACTCAAGGTTCTCTGAAAATTTTCACAAACCTTAGATGAGACTACTGAAATCTAGCATTATTCTATCAAACAAACATTCTCCACCTAGAGAAGTGCAAAATGACTATGTATTCCCCGGATGCCTTGACTACCTCTGGATGGTTCCTTTGGAGGGCTTCCCCTACTAGGAACAGTACTAGTTCTTTTTTGTTATCTGGATTCTGGACAAGGAGAATGTATTTTCAAATATACATGCAATCCAATATTTAGTAATCAGTAAATAACATTTCTATTGAAGATTAATCAGTTTTATGTTGTTTTTCTGAGTAGATGTTTTATGTTAGTTGTTAGATAGGTGGTGGGGACCACAGTAGTTATGTGAATCCAAATTTTATTATGTTTTTGAGTCTTATATATGCTGCTTTATGTTTTGCCGCCCTATAAGGGCATAGTTGTCTTTGTGCTGCTCTATTATTTTTAGTATAAATAATAAGTGAAGGGGGCAGCCAGATTATGGCTCTTTTTTCTTTCAAGATCTCTTCTTCTCTTCTTCTCTTCTCTTCTTCTCTTCTCTTCTCTTCTTCTCTTCTTCTCTTCTTCTCTTTTCAAAAAACCACTTTTCTGTTCATAATTTTTTGAGTTCAGCAGATTTCTACTTGGTATCAGAGCACCAGCTAGGGTTCTTGAAGTATTCTCATGCAGCCCTAGATCGGCCGACTGCATGAAGTAACAAAGGGCTGACCGATCTGCTATATACAGCCCAGTTCTTGTATTTTTTTGTGGGATCCAGTCATCAGGAAGGTGATCTACTGTTCGGCATCAAAATCAGGAAGAACTGAAGTATGGGGAAGAGTCCCAGAAAAGTCGATGAAAAGCATTAGCTTAGAATGGGTTGTTCTGTTTGTCCATCAACAAGCTTAAGCCACAGCAACAGAGACTGAAGATCGAGGAGTTAAGTTAAGGTTTTTCAGCAATGGATAGAGGCTTAGTGGAAGGAGGCTTTGTGGAGAAAGCAAAATGGAGGTCAACTTTGAGGGTAGAGGCCAAAGATTTTCTCTTTGAAGAAATACGGATCAAAGGAAGAATGGGACTGAAAATAAGAGAACAGCAGAGGGCTACAGTTCTTGTGTAAGGCTCAGACATGATTGTCTGGGTGAAGGAATATGTCTTTGATGCAGCAACTAAAGGGAAACAGACAAAATGGAAAGAAAAGTCCTCAGAGTCAAGTAGGAGGTATGTGATGGAGAACAAGGGGAATGCAAAGGGTGCATTCATATCTCTCACTGAATATTTTTCTAAAGGAAGGAAGCA